AAACCTATTGAGAATATTTGGTCTCACATTAAACACAAAATAGCTTGGCAATGTTTTTCAACTGTCTGAAGCCATCAATGCTGAGTGGAACAATATTTCCTCTTCTTTTTGTGAAAAGCTGTCTGCAAATTTACCCACAAGAGTTCTACATTTAAAGAAATTAAAGGGAAAAACTCTTTCATATCAAGTTACTTTATCTATTTGTTTAATGATTTTTTGTTGAGAACGTATAAAGCTTCACATTTTGCCATTTTGGGCTTTTTTTTTGCATCAGAGTGTATATTTCTTCAAATAAAACAGTTTAAGATGCTTAGGTAAGTCTATTGTTGCAGGCTAAGTATGGCTTACATTTTGGGATGTCCCTTAAAAAACAAGAACTATTTTTAACAACCAAAGTACACCTGATTTTTTTTGTGTGTGTGCAAAATGGTAAAAAGAAAACTAAACAACATAAGAATAAACCTATGTAATGTTGCTTTCTAACCCTTGCCCTGTGAGCCTGGCAAAAATGGTGCTAAATGTTGTTTCACATCTGAATTTCTACAGAGCTCAAGTTGGCTTCTTATTCGCTAGCTTTTTCTTTTGAATTTTCCATCCCACCTTAAACGGTGTAGCAGTTACTTTCTGGCACCTGTACAGGCGTCTAAAAGTAACTGCTGCGCTAATGACGTCTAAGACGTCAACTTCAGCTTGGATTAATTTCTCAAAGCCATATGTCTCATAGGTGTGTCCCACGCACATGTGGCTCTGACTGTCAGACACTGCTTGAATTTGGAAAATTTTAGTCATTCACGTTTTAGTACCAGCTGGTCCACGGCTTGTTTTGCGCACAAGGCCCTGATACCACAATCTCGTCTAAGGCAGCTGTCCGAGTCAGGCGGCTCCTCGGGTGGCATGAGAAGAAAAACAAACTCAGCAATTGGTCTGGTGTCCATGTTAAACTGAGGCTAATCGCATAAGACTGTCGGTTATTAGTCCACTGCCTTGAAAACAAAGCAGACTGCTTCAGATATGATAGACCAGAGTTTCTCCATCTATGGGCAGCAGACCACCAGTGGGCCGTGAAGCACCCACTAGTGGTTCACGGGCCTGAACTCAGGGGGAGGCAGTAGCTGAGCCGGTTTATGAAGAGCCTGTCCACTTCCTATTTCCCCCGTTATATCGAAAACATGACTGCAAAACACCAGAGGTCGCCCGCGAGCGAGTCCTCAATGAATGGGACTAAATGGAGCTCAACGGCTAAAAATGAAAAGTTTTTCCAGAACTTTCCTTTAATTTTAGTAAAAGAATGTTTTTCACAAAAAAAAAACACGAGAAAACTTACCTGTACATTTCCTTGTTTCTACAGCAAACGGGTTTTGGGCAGCAGGACTCTGGCATTACTGCTAGTGAGTGCTGATTGGTTGGCAAGTGGAGCAGCTCATTGGCTGTTCGCGCTCACTGACGTCATGAAAGTACATGAGGCGCCGTTTTGAAGTTTAAAACTTTCTTAAAATGTAACAGCAGTGTTGAAATGTTTTATGGTATTTGGTGTTTGGGAAATGAATGTAATCCTCCTCTCTACAAGTTCTCTGACAGTAGTTTGTAGTGGGCCGGTAGAGACGTATAAATAAAAACACCGCAGTCGCAGGCTAATGAAACGTCATCAGTTTGAGGCAAGGCAGCCGCGGACACACGGTGCAGACAGTCAGCCAGAGATGGAGAGGCTTTTCAGGGTGTTTCTCCTACCTCGTTCTGTGCGCACCTCTCAAATTTACTCTTTAGTTCGCTCCGTTTCGACCTGAGTGAACACTCCACCCGTATTCGGGTCTACATCAAACAGCTGAACCGGTCCGGCAAAAACCGGCGGGTCTCGGTCCGCTTCCGAGCGACCCCTGGTCAGTTCATGTTTATGATCAAACGAGGGAAATCATCAGTAGAGCTGGCTTTACTCCTCTAGCAGCACTTCAGCGCTGAATACCGTCAGCATCATCTGCCTGTTTAACGTCTGACTCTTTACAGACTCTCATTGCTCTCATGTCGTTCCTGCAGCTCGAGCTGCCGCTGATAAAAACAACAGATGAGCCTTAAAATAATGACGAAGATCTGCGGTTGATTTCTGGCCGAGCACAGCGACATAAATAGTAAAACTGATAAATTAATGACAAAGAAGCAGATATTGAGGAAGGCTTATTATTATTGTTTGTTGTGGTGACGCGGATCCAAAACGAGGCGCTAAAACCTTCAAAACTACAGACACATCTCGAGAACAAACAGTGACTCCTGAGAGGCTGAGAACCCCTGGGATTGACTACTTAGCGGGAGATTATTGAGGGGCTTCTGGGTTTTCATCTTCATTTGAAACGTGACCGAAACACCCCTGGATTAGCCACCCAGCTAGACAGGGTAGCCTTAGCATGGTTTGCACTGCATGTACACCACGTTAGTCGCTATCTGCGCTTATTTGTGGCATGAAATTTTAGCCAGTATATACTGCCCACTACTACATGCATTGTAATGACTGCAGCACTTTGGCACTGCCACTGCGAATCATTTGGACATCAGGTTAGACACTTGCATTAATGTATGCACACAAACCAAGGCTTCACAAATCATTACTTAAATATGATTTTTCGCATACAACTGCTTTAAGATCTGTATGCAAACGAATGTTTTATAAATGAGGCCCTTTCCAGGATACCAACCCGTAGTGTGCTACATACAGAGGTGGAAGTACTTTTGGTTGGAATACTTGGTGTAAGAATTATGTGAAAACAGTTTCTTCCAATGGGACAACGAGATTTCATATACCGAGAGTAATGGTGACAGTGCACTGACATACCAGTCACTCAGTGTTGTTCACAGAAAGATGAGGCCAGAGAGAGCTATGCAGGAGGAGGTCAATGACAACAGAGCGATGCCACTTCCTCGTTCACACGACTCCAAAACATCCCACACTGCACAGTAGCCTGTAGCCCCAGGAGAGGAGAGGTATTCAGCTCCTGAGAGAGATGAAGAATCATACACAGTGAACAACAATCAGACATGGTGATTGCTGTTCTACACTGTATTTTTAAAGAGCTGGTTAATCCTTGAACGAAGGGGCAGTGTTTGAAACACAGTAGCATCACAGCACTCACAGTTAGTCATTTTGTCATTGTTTGGTCTAACTTTGCCTGTATTTCTTGACATACTCTACAAAAATCTATATGCTTCCAGTAATCCACATCAGTTCTGAAAGGTCATTGTTAAGAGGAAACGTCTTAAACAGAGACAGTCTGCAAAAGCTACTCCCAAAGCAGGGAAAGAGTCAGGGAAAGATAAGCAATGTGATGGATTTGCCTCTGTGTTTATTTTTAGCTAAGACTTCCTTAAAAACTATGTCCATTTCCCTGAGTCCTGAACACTCGAGTATATGGGAAAAGTTTAGGAAGGTACATTACATACAGACTGAGAGACACACAGCTATTAATGCACTCTTCTGCATGCTTGTCATTCATTCCCACACTGTACTGGACAGCAAAGTGGAGTTCAGCTCTATAGCAAAATATACAGTTTAAGTACTGTACACATATGCTAAATATAGGCATATTTATATCCTGCTGGAAAAAGGGGCATGGGAAGGCAGCACTGTCCACAGCCTGAACTAGCCTAAAGTGTTCCTCTGTCTACTGATAGGCCTCTTAGTGGTTGCTATTATCTATTACCATGTCAGGCCATTATATCTCTTTTTGTCCCTCTTGGGCTGTTAAGCCCACTGCAAACTGTGATAACCGCAGAAGTCAAAATACAATAACATCATACAATGTGGATTTAAATATTACAAACTATTTGCCAAAGAGTATTTTAGATGTTTCTTTGTGAATCAAATATACTGTAATTATCCATTTAAATTATGTTTTGTTGTCTGCCTTGACATTTGATCTCCAGCTTTGAAATATGATAAATAATTTTGTAACTCTATTCTTTTTACACAACTTTCTTACCCATTTTGGAACCTTCCGAAGCTCAATTTACCCTTCTGAACACATCTAAAATTTCTTAAGTTGTGTTTTATTTATTTATTTACTACTAATTATTTCAAAGCTGTGTTGTACTAGACTAGCATACTATTGGTGTTGGAACAAAACCTTATACCTTCATTCTTTTTTTTTATTAATTCATTCATTAATTTTTACCAACTTTTTAAACATAAGTTGCTCTTTACATTGTGTGAAAATGTAATGACGATTAGACCAATGGAAACGGTACAAAATGACTTAAAATAAAACTTTTTACATTGACAAGAAAACTTAAGAAAATTTTATCCTTCTCCTGTAAAGTTATTTTTTGGCAATATGGTTTTGTTCTAACAGCGACGATATTAGAGTCATTTTATACACTTGTCTGCAACTGAATTGCTTTTCTATTGTTGAAACCATTCATTCCAAACTTTTCAACAGTGATCCCACAGTTTGTGTCACCCTGTAAGAGATGATGCCAATAAAATCTTCTGTGGCTTCTGCTGCATGTCAGATTATACAATAAATATTCTCTGAATATTTGGACTACGATGCTAGAAAAGGATGACATTCTGCTTGGGTCATCCACCAGCACGACACCCTTGTAGCTGGTACAAGTTGTGCGTCATCCCATGCCATACTACTATAGCAGGGGTGGGAAAGTGAGGACTGGAATCAAGCAGTTTTCCTGCTAAACCTGGCAATTATCTTACGAGTTGAATGTATGTTTAAGCAGGAAAACTGCAGGAATCCGGCCCTCCAGGAACCGAGTTCTCCACCACTGTCCATTGGTAGCTTCTTAGACATGCATCACAGCAGTGGTCGCACTTAATTTCTAATTATGTAACATGTTGTAGACGATATTTGGTTGGAAAAACATTCAGCTGCTGGCGGGAAAATTACATTTTCATCTACATCTTTGGCAGAAATCTTTAGACTCTTTAGACTCCAAGGATTATGATCTGACATTTTGAAAGCATTCATTTCCTCTGTCACTCTGTCTTCTGTATCTGTTTGTAGCAGACCCCATCTGAGTGTCTATGGCTGACTGGAGCTTGCTGGGGAACTTTCTAGAAGAGGTGCAGGAGCACTCCACCTCGGTGGGGAAGGTGTGGCTCACCATCCTCTTCATCTTCCGCATCCTGGTGCTGGGAACTGCGGCCGAGTCGTCATGGGGCGACGAGCAAGAGGACTTCACCTGCGACACAGAGCAGCCTGGCTGCGAGAACGTCTGCTACGATCGCGCCTTCCCCATCGCCCACATCCGCTACTGGGTGCTGCAGATCGTCTTCGTCTCCACACCCTCACTCATTTACATGGGCCACGCCATGCACACTGTCCGCAGGGAGGAGAAGAGGAGGCAGAAGGAGCAGGAGGACCAGGGAGGCGGGGGAGAAGGAGGAGGGGGAGGAGGAGGAGGAGGAGGAAGAGGTGGAGTTGGGGAGAAGTACCCCGAGGAAGAGAGGGACTGCGGGAAGGAAGAGGGTGGAGGAGGTAAAGTACAGTTGAGGGGGGCACTGCTGCAGACCTATGTCCTGAGCATCATCATCCGCAGCCTGATGGAGGTGGTTTTCATCGTGGTGCAGTACATGATCTATGGGATCTTTCTCCAGGCACTCTACCTGTGCAAGGGCCCGCCGTGCCCACACCCGGTCAACTGCTACATCTCGAGGCCTACAGAGAAGAACGTCTTCATCGTGTTCATGCTGGTAGTGGCAGCCGTATCGCTCCTTCTGAGCATCTTGGAGCTCTACCACTTAGCGTGGAAGCAGTGCAAGAGGTGCGTTAAGGACTACCAAGCTACTAAGCAGCAAAGATCTGGCACGCCCTCAACGGTGGCTGCTGCTTCTCCAGAACCTTCCACACCAGAAAGAACCTGCACTCCACCTCCTGGCTTTAACGAGTGCTTGGCGACATCCTCACCATCTCCCCACTCATTGCGAACACACTCCAGCTGCCCGCCATTCAACGATCACCTGGCGCACCAACAGAATTCTGCCAATATGGCGACAGAGCGCCATCGCAGCCGTGACGACAACCTGGGGTCGGAGGACTTCCTTAAGATGAGCTTCTCACAGGAACCTGTGGACACGCCCAACTCCTGTGCTCCACCCACACTGCTAAGCAATGGATTTTTAACCGACAAGAGGCGGTTCAGCAAGAGCAGTGGGACAAGCAGTAGAGTGAGGCCAGATGATCTGGCAGTATAATCTTGATTTAAAGTGATATTTCAGTGAAAAATGTACTTTTCCTCTTACCTCTTGCGTCTGAAGTTTGCTAAAGGGTAATGTAGCTAACAAGGAAAGGAGGTTATGGGAATGGGCTAAAGTATGTTGCACAACCAAAAAGCTATTATATTGACATTTCAATTTTGTCTGTACTTGTATTACTTATTTCTATACTTGCAGTGGTTTCCAACTCTGGTCCTGGAGATCCATCTTCCCACAGAGCCTAGAACCAACCACAGCTAATCAGCCTCCTCCCAGTTATATATACTAGAGTTAAGCAAGAGGCAAGGCAGCTTATTGGATACAAGTTGAATCTAAACTCTGTGGGAAGGCAGCTCTCCAGGACCATGGTTGGGGACCACTGCCATCTAGAAACCACATAAGCAAGGCTGTTTGAGATTACTCAAGAACAGGGGGTCACAACCCCATTCCTGGTGTCGAGTACAGTTTGGTGATTTACCTGCATAAACGCACCTTATTCAACTGATCTGTTAATTGTCAGGTTTAGTGGGTGTGCTTGAGTAGGCAATCTATCAAACTGTGCTGGACACTGACACTCCAGGACTGGAGCTGTGCACCCCTGCTTAAGAACAACATAGTTTGAGTCGTGTGTGGAGCATAAACTCCTACTGTTAGCTAAAGAAAGCAAACATCAGACACAGACATGTCTTGGTTAATTGCATTTTGGGTGAGCATGAAATTGTGTAAATTTCATTTTTCACTGAACTATCACTTTGAGTTCTTGGGATGAGAAGCCATAAGACGATGTTTAAAAATGCTACCAACACTTGACTATTAGCACTGGTCCATCTTGTCCTGTGAAGGCACAAACGAAGTCAAGCCTGCTGTAAGATAAGAATGTGATTAAGTAATGCTTGCCAATAGCAATAGACAATGTGCTTGAGAGGGTTTTGAGAAGAGTTACTGACCAACTGCAGAAAAGTTGACAATCTTAACATCCTTGAAATTCTGCAGGTGCGAGACATGCCTACTTATGTGGAGATGCAATAAAAGGCCACGAGATAGTGGTTACACCAGGGACCTTAACTGTGATTGGACAAGGCAGTATGGACCCAGTGGCACAGCACTCACAGATAGAGATCACTGCCAGACTAAAAACTGTCAGAACTTCTTCACCGAGACAAGAACCGGAGCTCTTTAGAGGCATTACTGGTCTTGAAAAGTTTGCCTGTTATTAACTGTGCTTAATTTCAGGCTGAAATTGCTTTGAAAACTGTTCATTGTTTAAAAGCTTGGTGCTTTATCTATACCAGAGCATAAATTCTGATTCTGAATGTTTGGTGGAGCAAATGGCTTCAGTATCATTTGTTTATTATTAACTTTTAATTATTTTCATTACCAATGCATTTCCTTTGCTGTCCAAATGTAATCAGTAGATAGCAGGGACATTATTTGCACTATTTATGTTCATTTTTATGAGTTTTGTCTTGTATTTCACATTTTAAGTCTTCATAACAGCTGAAGTGACTTTCAGGAAGAACATGAAAACTATAACTCTACATATAATTCTGTGCTATTCAATTGTTTAGGTTTCTGAATGAGCCACATACACGATCACCATCAAATAAAGGATGCCCATTTTCCTTGTGTGATATTTAAACTATGGTTATTTGAATCTAAATCTGTATTTTGTAAAGTGTTTACTCTCATTAAATATACACATTTCCACTAGCAGTTATAATCTAATAGGCTGCACCTTTACCAGACATTCATTTCTACCACTAGATGGCAAAATATCTTAATCCCATTCTTTTACAGTGTTGTTCAGCTTTACATGTAGAATAATTCACATATTTAATCAAAATTCCCTTCAAATGCTAAAAGGTCATGCATGCTCATCCGGACACTGAAACTGCTCTCACGTTCTGTGACCACTTAGGCAGGGAAATAGAAACAGACATGCTTGTCTTTCTGCAGCTGCTAAGCAATCTTGCCCTGTCCTAAAATTAGGCCTGCAGCTCAGAGTCCTCTCCACCATGTGTCCCTATGGAACACTGGATAATTATAGAACCATGGAGTCTAGGCTGTTTTGGAGGAGCTTGGGAGCAGCAGAGGGGGAAGAAGCAGAATGGGATGAAGACTGCTTCCCAGGCAAGATTTGGCAAAGTAAGCAAGTCCCTTGGGACACAAGAGAACATTCTCAGAAATCATCTGCTAGCCAATCAGTGAATATCTGTTTCCAAAGGTGCTAATTTCTTCACTGATTAAACTACATCGACCAGTTTACACAGATGACATGGTGTCGCATAGCTTGGACTAACGTAACGCATACCAAGACAATTTTTAATGAATCACTATGCTGACGTCCTAATTTTAAAAGGTTTACTACAGAAACCTTTCATTAAACTGTCAAAGTTGTCTTAAATGGATGGACTGACACGCTTTGGCTTGCGGAGTTAAAGTGTCTGTGAGAGATTCGGATCTCAGACTGTATGTTGCACATACCTAATCGTCCACCAGGGGGCAATGTAAGACCATTTACCATTGTAAGAGAAAGACACTGGGCTGCCGGACACTTTATACCAAACAATATATTTTATTTGTCTTCCAACACCACAGCCCAGCCTTAGGAAGTGGTTCAGTACCAAATTCAATGGAGTTACACATGACAAGCATCAACACAGGAGGGCTGGGGACATGAGGACAACCTATCACCTTTTTCTGTTGTTTTTCATCATTTGTTTTCTACAAAAGAAAGGAAAAAAATGCCACCCATCAGTAATCCAGCGCTGCACCGCATAGCCGTCGGCTATAGTAATTTTAACGACTGATTTAACCATTACCCTCTGCATTTTCCCAGATGCCCACCATCAGGGCATTATGTTCGCGGCCTTTGAGGGTCACCGTGACTCTGGCAGTTTACATCATGGTGCCTCTGAGTGGTGGTTTATTGGGATCTGGAGTCCTCTCCTCTCACCTGTACCCCTGTCCAGCTTACAGAAAAATCTGGAACATGAGCCCGAAACGACGCTGACAGCGTACATCAGATTACTGCTCCTACTGACTGTTGTCAAAGTGTTTTTCTCTACAATAAAAAAGGAATAAAGAAAAAAAACAAAACAAAAAAAAACACTTCTTATTCTTTACAGTTAATTCTTGTTTGTGCTTGTTTTTTAATAATACTATGATCTGTATGAGGTCTTAGTTTGGTTTTATCATACACGGGAGTAGCAAAGGAAATTCAATTTAAAATAGTCTGTTCGCCCCCACGGTACACAGTATTTTTGTGGTGGTGTTTTGCCGCACCGTATTGACCAACAGCCACCCCAACCCTCCCCCCTTTACAAATGAAGATGGAAAAAAAAAAACCTATAGAAGTCACTGGTAAAATCCCTTTAACAACACAAGTACAGTACACACATACAAAGAGCATTTCATGACTCGGAGGGAAGTGATGCGATGAGATGTAAACATACAGCCAAGACGGTGCAACTTGTGACAAAATGTTCCTTGACTTTTTTTTCGTTTGTTTCCATGACTGTCCATTCAGTTTGTGTTTTTTCTCCAACCATTTTTGCTCAGTTACCTCCCTCCTTTTGATTTTTTTTTTTTGTTTTATATAAAAGTACAACAATAAACTGCTACTTTCAGGTCATCCTTTTACTTGGTTTGCTGTTGGCTTTGTATGTGGCCACACAAAAATTTATTATGGCCACACAGTATCGGGCTAAGAGGACCTTACTCTGAGTCTGTTTCTCTGAATCCGAATACATTCCTGATGTTCCAAACAGAGCCAAAACGGGACTAAATGGAGAGGAGGGCACATTACTGTAGTGTGCAGCCAAACTAAGTCCCCTCGTAACACTCCACCTGTAACACGACGTCCATTCTCAAGGGTAAGGATTCCCACTGTATACATCCAGATGTCCGCGTGTGTGTATGTGTGTGTGTGTGTGTGTGTATATAAGTACATCAGCCTTATCCTACCCAGGTGTGTTCAAGCAACAAGTGTCATAGTTCCCACACATTGTCCTACAAGAACACATCCAAACATAGCTCTCATTTTGTTTCTATTTATAAAAAAAATCCTTATTTTCACAGGTTTTGCAGTATCCGGATGTTTGTTAATTTGTGGCGGAGGCTCGTTGGTTCCTTGTAGCAGCTCAGAACATCATCCCAGGGTTCCCCGGGCCTGGGTTAAAGCCCATCCCTGCCATGTCTGCTGCCATCCGAGGCCTCATCTGAGAAGTCATCATCATAGTCTGCTGAGGGCCACCCATCCCTTGTAGTGACATCATCATGTTGGGGGAGCCCACAGGGCCAGGATGGTTGTACATTGGCCTTTCTTTGCCCTGCATCATTCCTGGGCCTCCCATCATGCCAGGCTGTTGGCTCGGTGATAACATCCTGTGCTGAGGCCCCATCATGCCCTGGCCCATGAAGCCCGGCGGTCGCATAGGGTTGTGTCCGGGATTACCCATGGGCATGTCCTGGGGCCCCATGTGGCCAGGGCCTGGTGGGCCACCCATGCCCTGCATGGGAAGGCCCATCCTGGGGTTGCCCTCCCCCATCATCCCCTGCATGGGGGGGAAGCCAGGCGGACCGGAAGAGTGAGGTGGCTTGCCACCAGGCGCCTCACCGCCACGAGGGAAGTAAGACAGAGTCTGGCTGGGCTTCTCCGAAGGGATGATGCGAGAGAGGTCAAATTCAGGAATGCCCGAGGCGCCCGGCCGCATCACCTCATGTAGGTCCGAGTCATTGAAGACGCCAGGCATGTTGTTAAACTCCTGGCCCCCGGGCGTGTTGGGCTTACACATTCCTGGTTCTCCGCCAGGCCCGTGGGGCATGCTTCCCATCCTTCCCATTGGGCCACCCTCTCCCTGGAAGCCCATCCCGTGCGCGAAGCCACCCTGAGGCCCGGGACCGTTGTGAGGGAAGGGCACCTGCTGAGGAGGTGACTGCCCTGGAGGGAAGCCCTGTCCTCGGTGAGGGAGAACCATGCGACCTTGGGGCATCATCTGGCTGTTGCCCATGCTTGGGTCTTGGGAGACAGGAGGCATCATCATGCCATGGGACATCATGCCAGGACCCATGGGCCCAGAGTGAGGAGGCATGTTAGGGCCCATAGGATTGGGTGAGGGCATCTGATTGGGCATACCATGGGAAAGAGGCTGGGAGCCCATAGCGTTCATGCCCATGGGGCTGAGCGAAGGCATAGGGCCAGAGGAGTTGGGGGTCATCATACGCGGATGGCCTTGGTGATGGTTCACTCCCATACCTGCAAAACAGACAGTGAAGAAACAAAATGTCAGAGGTGATTTATATAGTTAGGCCATGTAAAAACTTGACCTCACTTGCTCACAATTACCATCTTCTAAATTTAAAATTTAGAATTAAAATCTTCTAATTCTCTTAAATTAACATACTACAGACATTCCATACTAAAGACTTTCCTCTAGGTAAATTAACTTGAATATTTGTTCATATGGGGGGGGGGAGTAAAAGCAACTTGTGTCCAAAACAGCTTAACCTGTATGATCCTCATTCTTTTTTTGTCTCTGTTCCTTTAAAATCTGCAAAAAGTCTGCAAGTAGCACAGTAGTATGTTTCCAGTTCAGTGCCGCATGAAGCTGAAAACGATACCCTTTTATCCCTTTAAAACAAAACAAAAAAATAAATAAATAAAATATATAAGTATTTGTGATTTTCTAAACCAACCATAAGCTAACACTGAAGGCTTTTCACTTCTTAAAATATTAGTGTAACCAGAGACTGCTGTAACTTTTATCCAGGTTGCTAATCATTAGTTTTTAGGGATTGTATATAATCCATTAAAGATCTGTATCATCTTACCAGGGTTATTACTGTTCATTGATGGCAGGTTTGGTGATCGCGCAGGTGGCGAGTCATCATCTGAGCTGGCCACAGTTTTAATGGCATCGTGGTATAAGGGGTGTGGAGCTAGGCATGGCAAACTTGGACATGCGTGACATCATGATAGAGAGAGGGTTCTGGGATAGCGTGGGTTCTGGGGGCATAGTATAAGGACTGCTGGACGGAAGACTTCCAGGAACATTGATAGCGCTGGGCTGGCTGGCAGAACTACTGGAAGGAGGCGCGGAAGGAGGAGCACCTCCACCTGGATAGAAGGGGACAAGAGAAGGGAGTAGCTTAGTAATAAGCAATAACAAGCTTTGTGACATCTGTTTGGTTACAAACACAGGTTGTGTGCATATGTAATTCTTACAATTTCTAATAAGGAATTAGTATTATAAGATGTGCTGTAAGTTGTACAGGGCTTGCTTGAAATGTAAGGATTAGAAAAATAAACTGCCATACCTTGCTCCACATTGCCCATCATATTTGGCGAGGTCATGCTGAGCGGAGGTTTGTTATTTTGGGGGATCCCTGGACTCTGCATGGGCGGCTTGGGCGATGATGTCCAACTAGGGGAAGGGGCAGGAAGTGAAGGCGACTTCATATGGACGGGTGAAGCCCCTGCTGAGCCCATCATTGGAGGAGACTTGATTGAAGCAGCTGCAGCTGCTGCAGCAGCCGCCACCGCTGAAGGTCCACTGAGCATGCCAGCCAGCTGGGAAGGTGTCTGTGGAGACTTTAAGTTACCCGAGGGAGAGCCTAACATGGGCGACTGAACCTGCCGCAGCGTGGGAGACTTGAGTGGGTTGACATTGGGCGAATTAGCCGGGCCGGACTGGACGCTCAGGTCAGAAGGCTTGCGACCCATGTTCCTCTGGTTGGGTGGAGGACCTGAGTTGTTTGTAGGTTGATTGGGAGGTAAAGGTGGCATGTGGCTGAGACGACCGTTTCCACCCACGTTGCCTCCTCGCTGATCAGGGGGAAAGGGTGGTTCACCTCTGGGGCCTCTTTGATTTCCAGGTCCTTGAGGACCCATGCCTGGAAACTGTCGGTTGGGTCCCATGTTGAAGTCACCTGGGTGAGGCTGGTCAGGAAAAGGAGGACCCTGCATCATCTTCTGCTGTGGGCCCATATTCTCAGGAATGGGACCTCCACCTTGCCTCATCTTCATTATCTCCTCTGGACTCATGTTCATTGGTGGCTCTCTCATCTTAGAAGGCATCATCTGAGGACTGGGCCCCATATTAACATTGAGGTTGCCAGGTCCCATGCCGAACTCACCCATGTCACGCCCCAGCCCTTTTACAAACTCCATTCTTGAAGAGGGGCTCATGGGACCTTCACCTGGTATTCTGGGAAACATCATGCCACCCCCATTCCCAGGCTCCATGGGCCTTTGGGTCCCCATCATCCTGTTCATCTCCATCATCATGCCTGGTGGTAGACCCATACCTTGCTTATCACCCATGCCTTGATGAAACATTGCTTCCTGTACAGACTGAGGGTTGGGGAACCTCTCCACTCGCCCTCCAGGACCTCCAAACATCCCTTGAGCTGGTGGGAACCCCCTTCCATCCCCCATTTTGGGCATATCATCAGGCCAGTTCATGCCAGGCCTAGGCATTGCATTAGGCCCTCCCTCCATATCTGGGTTCATCATTCCAGAGAAACCTGGCATTCTCTGCATGTGTGGGTGCATTCCTCTGGGACCCATGTTCATCTGCTCAGGGAATGGCTCTGGACCGCCAGGACCCCACATTTCACCAGGATTCATTTGGTAGGGAGGCGGTGGTCCTCGCATCATGGCTCTTGGGCCACCCTGGTGGATCATCATATCTCCCATTGGTCTGTGCTGCATTTGTTCCTGCTTGCGCTTCTTCTCCTCATAGAACTCCTGCTGTAACTTCAACCAGGCCATCTGCTCTGGTGTCATGTGGTCACCATGCTCTCCACCAGGTCCTGGATGAGAATTCATGGGTCCCGGACCTTGTGGAGGAGGCCCAAGCTCATCAGGTGAGAAAGGCATGTCCCTGGGTCCTGGGGGCCCAAAAGGAGGTCCATCTGGGCGTGGACCCCCAGGACCACCAGTTTTCCCCAGGCTCTGGGACTGGGCTATCATAGCCTGAAGCGGCCCTTGTTCAGGCTTCTTGGGCCCGCCCTCCATCATGGCAGCATTGGGTGGGGGCCCACCCATGTTCCCTTGCCCCATGGCAGCCATGTCTTTGTCATCAGGGAACAGCATACGTTGTATATCGCGCAAAGTCTGTAGGGAACGTTCCCGGTGCTCCAACTGCTCCTGGGAGAGACCCTCAGGGTTGTCCCCCATGCTGGACATGATCTCATGAGCTAGCTGTTGCTGGTGCTGGGCTGTTAACTTAACATCTGCTCCTTTGGGCAGGTCAAGGGAAGGGAAGCCCTGCGGAGGGCCAGCAGTGGGAGGCTGGTTGGGAGCCTGGCTACCAGGCGTCCCTGCGGGATTACTACCATCATGTGACCCAGCACCATCCTGGGGGCTGCTGCTGGGGAGGCTCTTCGAGTCCATGCCCCCTGATGGTGGGCCATCCTGAGGAAGGTTGGCTGGTTTTGCCCCTTGGGCTGGCTGCTGAGGTTGAACTGGTTGCGCTGGAGGCTGCTGCTGTGGCTGGCCTGGTTGCGTTGCTTTGGAGGCTGCTTGGTGGTTCTGTTCAGAAGGGTGAGATGACTGCTGTTGTTGGGATGGTGCACCCTGCTGTTTGGGGTCATTCCGGTGGGGTCCGAGCTGATTGTTCTGAAACAGATAAAGAAGAAGTGACTTTCTGGTTTTTGTTCTGATGTTTGGGATATTGTTAGTTAAAATTGAATTTAAATTATTTGTTACCAAGGGGAGTTGTGGCTTGCCACCCTTGCCATTGGAGATATTGTTCATGTGATAAGCAATAATATTTTCTGCATGGCCCGTTATAACTGCCTCTGCCGCCCTGGAAAGGAAAGAGAACACACACACAGTGCATGAGTGTTGGTAGCTGTTGCTGATGCACTAACAACTATGCCTGAGGACAAAATTTCCACTATACTGAAATAACACAGCTGAAGCATCTCATTAAATTCCAATTTCTAATTAAGGGTTTAGCGTTTATCATCCCAACCCAACCATTTAAGGAGGTAATTGGTAAACTACATTTGAGTGTGTATAAATGTCAGCGTGCCTGTCCATGCAATTCTATTCACAACTGAACACGTACAACAAGCAAGAGAAGACGAACAGTCAGAGTCAATGTTTTGACACCAGACTCATCGCCTTCCCTGTGTAATGTCAGCCCCGTAATGACAAGCCGCTCAGTGGGAGACCCTCCTTATGGCCACAGCATGCGTGACAGAGTCCCTGACACGTCTTGTCACTGACATTTGGCATCCTGCTGATTGTGATCTGAAGGTTTCTCCAGTCTCAGCTACCACGTCAATGTCACTGCTCACACTTCTCATCCTTTCCAACGCAGAGCAAAACACTGCTAAGCTCAGCAAAGAAGAAGCGAGTGGGTCTCACTCTGAGGAATGAATCTGCCAGGGTTTTTGATGCTTGATTTTATAATCAGAAATACTCTTCCAGCTTCTAAAATGGGCCTCAAAACATGTTTGCCAAAAGCAGCCATACCATGGTCTAGACGGTCAACATGTAAACATTAACAGCAGCAGCAGTTTACAGGTGAAAACGTTCTTACTTGTTTGCCATCTCTGTGGTGAAGACATAAACAACCTTTGACCCAGGTTTCTGACTGCTGCCTAATTCTGATGCTGTGTTCTGTCCTCCAACGGCATTGTGGGTAGGCGTGGAGGCTGAGAGGGTGCCTGGATCTGGCTTTATGTCACTGGAGTTACAGTCTGAGAGACAGAGGAAAGAGGACAAAAAGAGTAATGTGAATTAAGCACTGAAGTGGATATGCAAAAAGCCAACGAAAATTGAAAATCAGCCCTTAGCAGTTGAAAATGGTGCTGAGTAATGCAAAGATAATAATATTTCTGTTACATTAAAAGGACAAAACCTCATTAATTAAGGCATGCTAGTGCCTGGATTTCTAGGAGACCAGAGCCTAATTTACCAAAAGCACATTTCAAAATGACAAATGTGCTTAATATGGAAATACGCTGTCAGTTATCAGTGACAAACCTAGTGGACCCATTAACAGTACACTATTGGCTTTTTCCCAGCTTTATCACAAATGTATATGAATACTAAGCCAGACACTTACTGAAGAAGCCTGGGTCATCCTCATCACTCTCTCCCCCTGAACACCAGTCAGCTCCACTGTAGGGCTGCCGTCGTTCGGCAACACATAACCTCTTTGCCCTACTGCCCAGCTCTGCAGGGAGGAAGAGAGGGACAGCAAGAGGGAGAAAGCAAGAGTGAGAGATTAGCTCTGTCCTTAGCATATAGAGCCCACAGGTCTGGTCATTAAGAGGTCATAAACAACTCCTGGCTCAAGCTAGAGGTAGGCAATATGGCAAAAAATGTAATATCATGATACTTCAAGAAGCTTTCACGGTACATGATGTGTCATCATATTTTTTCTAATATGTGATAAGTTGTAAAACACAATTAGCGCCACAATTTAAAAAAAAACATTTCACATTCTGCGCTGCACGAAATCCAATTGAACAGGATTATTTATGCATCCTTTGTAATAAACCATGTGGTTAGAAAGTGCTTGTGAGTACTGACGATGCCCACGATATGCTCAAAAAAAGCTTAGTGTGACATACAGTGACATAATTTATCACAATAATGATAAATACCGTCATACTGCCAAGCCCTAGCACACTCTTAATCTGGGTCTGGGAAACAAGCCCCAAAATTTTAACGTAACCTAATCCATGACTAAAGGACACAGAATCTTTAAAGATTTACATTAATTAACACTTCTTATATTCTTAATGCATATCTTATGAAAACCACTAGAGCAGCGGTCCACTGATTTCCAGCCAGTTTTCCAGAATCAAATTAAGCCAAAGCCCAGAGTTATATATGAATAAAAGAATAAATAAATAAATATACAACAACAACGATTCAAGCAGTGATATATTATTGGTGTTGCAATTTAGTCTAAGACTAGGCTTAATCCATGTGCGGGAAACATGGTGGTGTCATACTTTCCTGATATTACAAAAAAACAGGACTGGAAGCCTCCACTCCACAGTTTCTGCTTTTTTCTGTCCAGTGACTAAGAGGCTCTTTGGAGCATTTTACCACCTCTGGGAAGTTTAACTCCTATTGTCTCTGCCCACGACCTTGCTGCTCTACTACCTTGCTGGTCAGTACCATCTGTCTGCAAACTGAGCACACACTCAGCTTCGCTGTAGCCAGGATACAGCAGACTATGACCATGGCGAGGATAACAGAGTTAAAATAAAGAGGAGGATATACAAGACTTTCCAGTGTGGAGAATACACATGCTGTCCAAGCAAACAAACACCATGAGCAAACGCCCAACAGGGAAAGCAAACACACATTAAGCTAACCTAGCAGGCTGCACACAAGCAAGCAGGAGGCTCATTTCTTTCAGGCTTTCACTGCCTCCTGCCCTGCTCTTTAATGCTTTTGCTTTCAACACACCTCAGGCAAGCTCAGGGCACAGTGAATTCAACTCCATATAAAATACAAACAGACCATATTTGTCTCCAATTTAAATACTTGGGCAATTTTGAAGATGTTCAACACACATTCAATTAAAATGGCCACAGTCTCATGCCAAACAATCTCTATGCAGAAGCATTAACCACCAGCAGGGGTCCTTCAGACAGGCAAACACACAGACTGAAAAAAGACTGGCAGGGACGAAAAAAATGGCTCCCCCCTCTCCCAGCAGGCCAGATGGTATATTCCTTGGCGCTTCCTACCCCCAAACCTACACTCTGATGTTTCCACTAGGACACATACGGGGGTGTGGATGTCTTTATGCAGCACTACAGCCCTGAGCGCAGCGCCCGAGGACAGAAGGAAAGATGCATGCGCACGAGGGCACACAAACACCAGAAAAACAGCTAGTGTGTAAATGTGACTCCAATGACAACACACACACATACATATACATATATACATATATATATATATATAGGGGGGTGGTTAAAATGGTAGAACAGAATCTTTATGGAGAATCTTTTATGAAGATAAATAAAAACCTCTCTCTCTCTTTATATTCTAAAAGCAAACAAATACAGCCATGAAAAAGCTAAGATAGCTAGGTTATACTATTAGCAAGCTAATAAAATAAGAAGGTACAAAAACTTCAGACACAAATTACCATACAGTCTTTGAAAAAAATCAACCATTTACTATAAACAAAAGAAATTTGATTAAACATCCTTCCACTGCTGCTTTTTCTGCTCCTACCTTTCTGGTCCCCCTCATTGTTAGGTGTTCCTGTATCCCTCTGCTCGAAGGACTCAACCGAAGTGCTTCTCTCCCTCTTGATCTTGCTTTTTGCCCCACTGCCCGAGTTCAGGCCTTGTCCATTTTTGAGTCCCATGCCCCCCACAGAGCCCTGAGGGCCTTTGGGCGTGTGGCTTCCACTCAGGGCCTTGGGGTCGCAGGGAGATGGCTGCGATTGGCTGCTGGCTCCCCCTTGTTTTCCCTGATTGGGCAGTTTGGAGTCCATCTGGGCAGCACTGGAGGGAGACATCACGGGTGGTGAGCGCACCATGGCCTCCTGCTTGGATTTGGGACTGCTGGAGAAAAGGAGAGGGGAAAAAAAAAAAGTGAGACAGAAGGACACAAATATGTAATACAGTACAAAACAACACAATTTGTCCACACAACAATATAAATAACAATATAAACACTTACTGTAAGTCTCCACTTACATGTACTAATGTAGGATGCGAGTTATATACAGTAAAAGTGAGACAGCGTTCAAAACCTCACTGCATGTTCAGAGAGAAAATTTCAAAGAGGCGATTCTCATTATCTGAAGGAATTCCACAGCTTCCCTTCTGACAAGTTCTAATTTGAGGACGGAATGAGGAACCTCCGTTCCCGCTCAGCATTCCATCTCCACCTGAACGACGGCTTGCTTCCTGCCACACATGACTGGCATTCTACCCCACCCTGAAGAAATATCTCGGAAGAGCTTCGGAGGGAAACCCTGACACACACAGGTGACGCACCAAGTGCACTCGCGGTGCCCTCGTGTGCGAAACCTGTTCTCGCCTTCTCTCTGTTGACAGAGAGTTAAGTTAATATTTAATAAAATAGCCTGTTTGACCAGATCAGCCACCGGCTAGCCTAAAGACCAGGCCCTGAATTTGCAACGTCACTACCACAGTGACAAGGTACATAACTGAAGGGGGCTGAATCTTACAAAGTTATGGAAATCAACTGCAGCAGGCCAGGTAGGAGGATCCTTCACTACTGACGGGAAAAAACTTAAAGATACAGAAAAACTCATTTACACACTTCCCCCGTAGTCCAAATGTAATTAATAAGCAAAGACATGTTTAGTGTCTGAAGTTTGTGTCTATAGTTTTGTTGTGGAGCTGCAAGGCTAATATAGCTAAAAAGTAATGGAAGCTTATACCCAACCAATTAGCATTGTGCAAACTGCATGCCTGAACAAAATCAAGGTCAACGTTTCATGGGCATTCAGCTTACATGATGCTAACTGGTGAGATATAAGCACCCACTGCTTTTTAGCAACATTAGCCTTGTAGCTCCACTGTAGAACTGCAGTAGCACAACTTCAGACAACAAACATGTCTTGGCTGATCAACTACATGTGGGATAAGAGGGAAAATGTACAGTTGAAAAATACTCCTTTAACCCCTGCCAAGTAAACGCATATCGCACAATGCACAAACCCCAATGAGGGGTGGGAAAAAAGTGCTAACAGCAGTCTACGAGTGGAGACTGAGTGGGGTCCGTTTCACAGACCACCACAAGCTCTATCAAAATATCAGAGGACAGCTCACCATACTCTCCCACACATACCCAACTCTTCAGTTGTCAGTGTAGCACACTGAAGGCAGTGGGCCCTCAACAAATTTCTGCAAACTGCCATGGTTGCTTGAAATACTGGGTAGAACAGTTGGCAGCTGCACTAAATTTAGATCCAAAATGGCTGGCATTTGAGAAACTGGAGCCAAAAATGACCATGAAGACAAGACCTGCTCCAGCATGGCCACAAGTATCGGTGCAAGACAGCCCCAGCAGGAACCTGGCAAGCTGGCTGCCTGTTCCTTAACCAGCTCCAGAAACATGAGTCAGCAAGGGGCAGCCATTTTGGCTCTGAAGGAGCCTGGCAGGCTTGGGGAAGGGTTCTGGCTGAGCTCGAGTGGGTCAGTTTCACGGGTGTTGAATCAGACTTTTGGAGCTTCTCCAGAAGATCCTCCGGGGTACTGCTCCCCTACCAAAACACACTGCGGCCGCTGTTACCTCCGCCTGCCCTGCCTTCCTGTCCACAAGAGCCTGCTTACGTGGCGGTGTTTTCACTGAGCCGTCTCTTAAGGAGCAGAGGGAATTGTGGGTAAGAAGCTACTTTACTTTTCTGGGAAAGTTCAATGGAGAATCTAGCACTTTTGGCAGTCGAAAATGACTTGCCTATTCATGCAATTACACTACTGTAACAGAACTGTAGCTAAGGAAATAATATATTAATAACTAAAACGGTAACTGTTAAAGGGGAATTCCATTTAAAAATGTCTGCTTAATTTAACTGGTAGGACGTAAAACGGTCATTCGGAGTGGTTTCAGGTGAAACGCTCTATTTTTAGAGTCAGAATTGTTCACAGTGGTAGTGATGGGAACCCAACACCTTAAGTGTTTATTACCCTCAAAAGCTCTCACAGACAGTTATTAGTTATTACATGAAATGTACATTGAGAAAACCGTAGGCCAAAAACATTTAAAAAACATACATGGCAGAGAGAAACATGCGGAGCGTTGGCAAAATTGTCCCCAAAGAAACCTTATTATTTCATACTTACCACTATTTTACCATCAGCAATTGGATTCTCAATAAAATATTTGCAATGTAGACACTGTAACTCTGGTTGCTGGAGTTTTTAATCACCTCAGTGTCACTGCTGGACTGAGAATAGTCCACCAAACAAAAATATCCAGCCAACAGCGTCCTGTGGGCAGCATCCTGTGACCACTGATGAAGGACTAAATGACGACAGAACAGAAACTGAGCAGCAACAGATGAGCTGTTGTGTCTGACTTTACATCTACAAGGTGGACCAAAGAGTGGATAGTGAGTGGACAGAGTGCTTAAAAACTCCAGCAGCAGTGCTGTGCCAGCACACCAACACCATGTCAGGTTCACTGTAGAGCTAAAATGATCCACAACCTAAATAATACTTGCTTTTTGAGGGCCATGCGGGGGTCCTGATCATTAAAGAAAATGGTAAAAGGGGGCTATTAAGTTACGCAGAAAAACAGATGAACTACAGTCTGTGAAGCATGAAAAAGCCAAGACGTGAAGGAGACATATTTTTGCCCAGAAGAGGCTGATGGCAACAAGATAAAATACTGTTGAAAAAAAACAAGAGAGTCTGGAAAATACTGTATCAGAGTTCAGGCGACGAGGCGATTCTGGCTGCTCTAAGGCAACATAAGAGAGTACGCTAACCTGGTAGCTAAGATTACCATGTGTGTTTAGTGATTCTTCCCAGCCAAGTTGTCGGTAGCGTTTTTACGTCACCTTGTGGTTTCAGCTCAGCTCACTTGGAACCTTGATGGAGGCGATACCAAAAATAGTACCCAATACCAGGTACCAGATTTGCATAGTGCAAAATGAGAAAAAGCGAGCAGCTTTGGTATCATGCAGTGGAAAAGTGGCTTAACTGTTACTATAATACCTATGATACCTTCATGGTAAGTGGACCTGATAAATTGGACAGAGTGTAAAAACAATGTAGGTGTACTTAAAAAAGTGTACAACCAGAACACATACCAAACTGCTCAAAATTCAACAACAGATCTGCTGAAATGGGGGACCCCATGACCTTTTTTTTTCCTTTTAAGAGAGGATCCTCACCTCTGAGTGTTAGCTGACGGAGAGTTTCTCACTTTGGGGTTGCTGGAATGCATTGACGACAGTCCCAGAGCTACCGAGGCTGAAGCAGTAGTGTGCTGGTGAGGGCTGGGTGTGAGTGCGTGTGAGTGTGTGTGTGAGTGCGAGTGGGCGTGTGTGGGCAGAGGCGGCGCCGCAGTGGGCGTGGCCTTGGCCCGGGCGCTGCGGGGCCCAGTGGCGGTGGCTGCTGCTGCAGGGCCGCTGCAGTCCTGGCCCTCCTCCTGCCGTTCTTTGGCTCGTTCCTTCCTGGCCGTGGCGCCGGACGCCGTTCCGCTGGCCGTTCCCGTACCCGTCGCTGCACCTGCTGCTGCTGGTCTCTCCTCCTGCACCTCCAGCATTCTCCGTGCGGGCGTGCCTGGAGTCTCCCCGCAGAGCCCTCACAGCCCCTGGCCACACTGTTCACACGCATAGAAGAGAGAAAGAGCATGTTTAGAGCAGTGCTGCAAAGCACTTCCAGGAAAGAAATAATTTTCTTGGTAAGTTCCTATGCAAATTACCAATCTACTTCAAACATCTCTGAATCAAAAAGAATGTGGTCCAGTCAGTGGCTAGATACTCTTTTGACTATGAATGAATGTCACTTTATGAAAAAGAATATATTGAGAACAGACTTACTTCTCACAAAGCTACGCATCTATACTGAAAAACACTGAGCAACACTAAAAAAAAAAAAATATCTTAAAAAAAGATTTAAAAATTTAATGGAATCTATGAAGAAACAGTATAAGCAAAAATGTGAACTACAGTAATCATAGACATATAAAACAGGTGGCCTACAAAGTCTTCTCTGCCCTTCAGCAAAACTGATTCAACACATGCAAAGCATCCACATACAACCAGCCTCCGGTCACTCCACATGAAAACGCTGCCAATACAGCAATAAACTTAGCACCATGCTAACGCAAGGGATTCCTCACAGCCCTCAGCAAATGGCAACAAATGCACAGGTAAGAGAGACACATGCAACAAAAACTGGAAATCATTTGCACTAGTACTGTCAAATCAGTGCCTGAGGGCTTCCTATAGGCATCCAAACATGGCTACATCTAAAGTACGGTTACTGTTTTAGAGACCAACCTGCTATATTACACCGTAAGAAATAAAGGTTCTGTGCAGGTAAATTTTTCGTTCATCAAGGTACAAACAATGTAAATGTACCCTCAAAGGTACAACAGTGGTTTTAAAGTTCAATTGTGTACCTTAAATAAGATTTGTTTCCCAGTGAAAAAATGCATTTGTACATTTTCATAACCTAATGTTTTAAAACAGAACAGTAAAATGAAAAGCCTGGAGACGAGACGGGGTGTGTGGAGTCAGTACAACTTATGATATGCACCCCTGAGGGTACCACCCCAGTGACCCCAGGAGGGTACAGCCCCAGTGACAGTTTAGTACCTTTTTTTCTCAGAGTGTATCATTAGCATGTTTAACACGACTGATGATTGTGCTGAATTCTATACTGTGCCATATGATGAATGAGCATTAAGCTAGTGAGTCTGTCTTAGCCTAGCTAAACTGTAATGTTTAGCTACATCTCTCAGGGACTCTTCTGCTTGACACAGCACTTTTCACTAAGGCAGCCTGTCTTTACAACTAGAGACAATCAGCACAAGACGTTAAATCTACACTCACGTCATCCTGCACTGACCCCTTTGCATGCAAACAGAAACACCTGGGGCAAGTTATCTGTCAACACAACTGCACAGATACTTGACATGCATTAGCTTGCACATGCTAGCCTAGTTTCTCTCAAAGCTCAAGTCAGTGAGATTAAATGGGTACCTAAGAGGAGTGTTAGCCGGTATATGAGGTTACTATGGTAATGGTAACACCTTATGTCTCCACAAAGATTTCACTCTTTACACAAAACATTTTACTTGAAAAATACAGAATAGCCTTCCTTCTGGTTATTGAGGCCTGGGTGCAAATATAATAATATTTAGCCACAGCAGGGTAATAAACAGTTCCAAGCTTCAATTATTTTATTTCCTATTAAAGCAGTAATTTAGTACAAGCTATTAATTTTTCAGCATATATTCCTGAGGAGATCACATATAAGGTAAGTCTGGAAGGATGTGTAGCTGTCAAGAAGCTGTTACTGAAAAAGGAAAATGGACAAAAATAAATAAATAAACCAAATTGTGAATTAAACAAAGAAGCTGCTGCCGGTTTCCAGAACAACGGAGTGACCACCCCAGCGTCCAGACCTCAAGATCACTGAATGTGTTTGGAATTATCTGGATCAGGAGAAGCAGAAAATACAATCAGCTTATAAGACTGAACTTTGGAGGTGTGGAAAAACCTCCCTGCAGATTTCTGACAAGAAAGAAGCTGTAATAAAGGCCAAAGGTGGACACAATAAATAGTGAAAGAAACTGAAAATATATTTAGTTGTTGAGGCTTCTGTGTAATTCTAATACTGAAGCAAATATATATACACACACATATGTATAATATATAATAATTATATAGATTATAATTATATGATTATATTCTAATTATATAAATAAACACACACACAGCCACTCTGTACCCCTCTGTTCAGAACATGAGAAACATCTCAGAAAGCTGCAATGTCAGATTCCGTTGTCATCCAGAAAATATTCCGGACGGCGTCCAAGATACACAAATGATGTAAACGGCTCCCTGCCTCCCCTCGGGGGAAAGGGCAGGAATGAAACAGGGGACAGGAACGCACTTAAACTGCTCTCTCCCACCTCAACATCAACAGACTTCATATTTACAAATAAGCAGCAAGCAGGAGCATCGACTGAGTTGAAACTAGTAACCAAACACTAAACCTAGACCCGCCACTATTGGTGATATTAGTAATCACATAATCTACCAAATGGTCATGTAATCAGTTTTTAAAAAACAGGCCAAATAAAAATGGACTTAACAACAATAACAAACCATGCACAGCCGTCCAAATACTTCAGAATAATATATCGGAACAATTTAACTAGGAAGCCTTTATAAGTAATGCCTTGATTAAAAAAAAGAATGCATATAAATGTGTCTGTCTCAAGGCTCTGTTTTAAAAAAAAACAAGTAATCAGGCCTGCCTAATCGAAACCGATTCAAAAACTCTTCCTCTTGCATGCAATTTAAACAAACAAACAAACAAACAAACATTAACATTAATAAACAGCAATTATGAGAGCTGATTTCAGGTGAGACATTACTACGACCGGGCTGTGACTGGCAACTAAAAACCGACAAAAAAGCAACAAAACTGATGCAGAGACAATATTTTGACAAGATGCTAAAATGAACTTGGACCTACAACTTCAGGAGAAGTTCAGCTTTGTGTTTTACTCTTCAAGTGTAGAAGTTTCAGTGCCCCTTTAACATGACTGAACAGAAATTTCTCTTTCACAGTATTTCATGAACATAATGAAACTGGTGTGGTCCAACAATAAGGACAGTTGCCCAAGCTGGCTGACTAAAAACGTGTCTTACTAGCGAATACTGACTCACCTTGTTAGATAACCTCAGTTCCCTACTGGTTCCTTTTCTTTCTCTTTCATTTTTGAACAAGGACAATGTTTTTAGTGTGGAGTTTTAGCGTGGAGCCAAAATCAAATCTGCAACTCAAACCATGTCCTTTGTTAATAAAAAATTATATAATAGCAAAAAACAACCACCACCACCAGGTACGGTATACTGATATTAAAATCTGATCATACTGGCAAACAAAAAAAAATATATACTGACTTCTGACAGACAAATTTGACTGATATTTCAACCCAGTGTTTGATAATGCAGTTATCGTATTTTGGAATAGGGGAACATTTAGGTAATTGTTTCTTTCTGCATTTGAAACCCTACAGAAATTCACTATGTGGCCACAAGTATGTGGACACCCATCCCCATTACTGAATTCAGGTGATTCAGCCACACCCATTCCTAACAGGTGAATTAAATCAAGCACATAGCCACGCAATCTCCACAGACAAACACTAGCAGTAGAATGAGTCATACTGAAGAGTTCAGTGACTTTAAACATGGCCCTGTCACAGGAGGTCACCTTTACCATAAGTCAGTACCTATGGCAAAGGCGACCTCCTATGAACTGCTGGATCTGCCCCACTCAACTACAAAAGTTGTTACTGTAAAACTAGGCGTGAAAACAGCTCAGCCACGAAGCAGCGACCGCACAAACATACAGAGCGGGCCGCTGAGTGCTGAATGATGTACCGTGTAAAAATCACCTCTCCTCTGCGGCGTCCCTCACTACAGAGTTCCAAACTGCTTCTGGAAACAGCATCAGCACAAGAACTGTGTATCGGGAGCTTCAAGAAACTGGTTTCTGTGGCTGAGCAGCTGCACACAAGGCTGATGGTATCTACTGGACTCTGGAGCAGTGCTCTCTAGAACGATGAATCACGCTTCACAATCTGACAGAATCTGGGGTTGTCAGATGCCAGGAGCAGACTACCTACTGGACAGCGCCAACAGAAACATTTGGAGGAGGTGGGATAATGGTTTGGAACTGTTTTTTGGGGTTTGGGCTCGGACCCTTAGTTCCAGTATATGTCAATGCTAAAGCATAAAATACTTTTTTTTTTATTTTTTTTTTCACACATTTTCTTTTATTATTAAAAATGTACCGTATTGCAGTAGAAAAACCCAACCCAACTACCCCTTGTCAATCATATTTAAAATAAATAAATAAATAAATAAAAATAAAAAGCTACAATCTTTACTTCGTTTCCTAGCAACATTAGTGCCGTGTTTTATCCAACAGTGCAGGATTTTAATAAACTGTGGTTATCTTGCTGAAACATGTCTCGACACATTGTCAAATAGTATCATCAAATTAGGATTTACACAAGGTGCAAAAACACCACTTAAACCCCTGCTGCTTTGATTTAAAAAAAAATAATAATAAATAGAATATACCATCAGAAACACACACACACACACACACACACACACACACACACACACACACACATATATATACACTGGCTACATCATTAGACCAACGGCTAAAACGCCTCAGGGAAGAGGCTGAGAGCCACTGATTCAGTGATCGGTTTCACTGCACAGCCCTCCCCCTCCCCCCGTTAGACTGCACTGTACAGATACCGAGAGACCACACTGAGATGCAGTCACAGAGGCTTTTTTGAGCG